TTTGAAAAATTATGATCTGTTTGAGTATTCTAAATTCCTTAATACTCGGTTTAAAACAGATTGTTTTCAAACATCATTTAGTATGTTAAATTAAAGGAACTCATGTGATGTAATGAAAACATATTGTTTTGAGCTTGGGTTTTTAATTTTTAATGTTTTGAGTCTGCTTTAGCATCTATTAGATTCAGCTGAAGTTTATCATTTTTAAATATGCATTTCACTTCCCAGAATAAGAACTTTTGAGCTTTGGTTGTTTATTTTTAAAGTTTGAATAAGAACATTTGAAATATTCCTTTTAAGCTTTTCATTAGATAGAACTACTACTTCAAAAAATGCAGTTCACTCACCATCCCATGCTAGAGAGTAGTATTTGACATTGTTTTGGATTTCTATGATGAATATAATACACAAATTAAAGGAACTCGTGTGATGTAATGAAAACAGATTGTTTTGAACTTGGGTTTTTAATTTTAAATGTTTTGAGTCTGCTTTAGCATCTATTAGATTCAGCTGAAGTTTATCATTTTTAACTATGCTTTTCACTTCCCAGAATAAGAACTTTTGAGCTTGGGTTGTTTAATTTTAAAGTTTGAATAAGAACATTTGAAAAATTCCTTTTAAGCTTTTCATTAGATGAATATATGATGAAACAGATTGTATTGAGCTTGGGTTTTTAATTTTTAATGTTTTGAGTCTGCTTTAGCATCTATTAGATTGACTATTGCAACTGCCCGTGTGTGAATTCTATGATGAATATAATACACAAATTAAAGGAACTCATGTGATGTAATGAAAACAGATTGTTTTGAGCTTGGGTTTTTAATTTTTAATGTTTTGAGTCTGCTTTAGCATCTATTAGATTCAGCTGAAGTTTATCATTTTTAAATATGCATTTCACTTCCCAGAATATAACTTTTGAGCTTGGGTTGTTTAGTTTTAAAGTTTGAATAAGAACATTTGAAAAATTATGATCTCTTTGAGTATTCTAAATTCCTTAATACTCGGTTTAAAACAGATTGTTTTCAAACATCATTTAGTATGTTAAATTAAAGGAACTCATGTGATGTAGTGAAAACAGATTGTTTTGAGCTTGGGTTTTTAATTTTTAATGTTTTGAGTCTGCTTTAGCATCTATTAGATTCAGCTGAAGTTTATCATTTTTAAATATGCATTTCACTTCCCAGAATAAGAACTTTTGAGCTTGGGTTGTTTAGTTTTAAAGTTTTAATAAGAACATTTGAAAAATTATGATCTGTTTGAGTATTCTAAATTCCTTAATACTCGGTTTGAAACAGATTGTTTTCAAACATCATTTAGTATGATAAATTAAAGGAACTCATGTGATGTAATGAAAACAGATTGTTTTGAGCTTGGGTTTTTAATTTTTAATGTTTTGAGTCTGCTTTAGCATCTATTAGATTCAGCTGAAGTTTATCATTTTTAAATATGCATTTCACTTCCCAGAATAAGAACTTTTGAGCTTGGGTTGTTTAGTTTTAAAGTTTGAATAAGAACATTTAAAAAATTATGATCTGTTTGAGTATTCTAAATTCCTTAATACTCGGTTTGAAACAGATTGTTTTAATCTGCTTTAGCATCTATTAGATTGAGATCTTATGCAGCTTATGTGATTAAGGTGTGATAGATCTTTTTTTTTTTAATTTTTTAGAGTTAACGTTAGCATACTGGATTCTTTAGAAAAAATTGAAGAATACTATGTCATGCCTTATTTTATTGGTTTCTTAATGTGTGGGTGTGTCCTTGAAACTGGTTTTGTATGGAAATATTTGAAAATCAGTATATTCAACAGACTTGAGATGTTTCGCCTTTCTTTTTCATCCTCTTTTATATATTCTGTTGTGATTTTTATACTAATAAATCATTTTTTGAGATTTTATATGAAAGTATTTATTAATTATTTAATGAATAATGATAAAGTGTGGCTGGATAGATTGTCACTTTTTAATTTGTTAATAAAAAAATTTTAATATTTATCATTAGGATTCATTCCACTTATTCAATGATTATCTTTTATATATTATTTATGTTATTTTTAATTAATTGCTTAATTAAAAAAGAAAAAAGATGGCCGACTAAATTATTTAATTAATGATATGATCATCTTAATCTAGGTAAAGCAACATCTTTTTAATACGAGATTTATTATAAAAATCTTATTGCAAATAAACTACATGTTCTTTTATCGAGTAAGAGTAAGATTATTAAATTATGATAGTTATCATTAGCAGGACTATCGGATTATTCAATGATTCTCTTTTATCTATGACGTTTCTGATTGTTAAATTAATTATTCTTTCTTGTGATCTTATATATTACTTTTTCATATTTTCTAAATTTATTCATGTTTTTTAACTTTCTCAACCACTTCATGATCGAATTCTACTTTTTAATTATCTTTCTCATGTACTTCATTTATAGGAACAATGCCACCTAAGAAGGTGTATCTGGGAGACATTGTGAAGAACTTACCAAGCAATTCTGCTTTCCTGGTGAGAGTCACTCGGAAATGGAATGCCCTTTTTGGGGAGAAAAATCGAGCCATCAAATCCATTGAAATGATTTTCATGGATGAAAAGGTTACACACTTTTTCCTAATCCATACTTTTGTATTAATGATACAAAATAATAATAATAGACATTATGTTACTAAATATACCAAACGAGAATACATTGGTTAAAACCAACATATTCTCTAGGTTTAAACTTTAAACGAATTGAGCATTATTCGGTTCTTATATTAATATTTAATTTTCAATATAATTTTTATATATGAAGTATACAACATATCATATACATTAGTGTTGTTAATATAACTAATATAGCATGAATTTAAATTCACAATGACATGGTTCAGATAATTATTTTTAAATACAGTGTTGTCAAATGAACATGTTAATATAGCTTACATATTCATTTTCATGTTCTGACAGTTATCAATTATCTTCTGTTTTAAACTTCGAAGGTAGGTTTTTTAATATTCATCCTTTTTGAAATATGTTTGTGTCATATTTTCATTCAAACTTGAAAGGCTTTTTTTGAAAACTTATTTTTTCATGTGCTAAGTTAAACAAAAATATTAGAAGTTCATTTGGTAGTTATTAAAAAATACATATTCCTAATCTATTTAACCATATTAACCATATTAAAAAAACAATATTAAACTGACTTCAGTGATGAGTTTAATTTAAAGAAATACATTAACCATATTAACCATTTCATTTGTCAATATAATGAAGATTCATTATATTCAAATAATGAATTTGACGATAAAAGAAGATTCATTAAACTGGCTAAGTTGATCAGTAAAATATTAGAAGTTCATTTGGCAGTTATTAAAAAAATACATATTCCTAATCTATTTAACCATTTTAACCATATTAAAAATACAATATTAAACTGACTTTAGTAATGAGTTTAAGTGAACAATTTTTTAAAGATTGGTATATCTTATGTGTCTGATAACAAATGTAGTTCAACACATTCAGTTTGCTATCGTGGATTCTTACAAATAAACATTCAAAATACATTAAAATATAACAACTTGAGAATAAATTTGATTAAAGAAGTAATTCTTAATAATGAGTATTTTAGTTAACTATTACTTTTGTATACAGGTTAAGGGTTGCTGGTTCTACGCCCAAATTTGTATTGTAGAAAGATCTTCCTAATCTAACATTAAATAATGAGTATTTTAGTTAACTATTACTTTGGTATACAGGTTAAGGGTTGCTGGTTCTACGCCCAAATTTGTTCAATTCTATCATTAAAGAATTGGGCTTACCTGGGATGTAGTAGTAAAACATGCTTTAAAAAGCTTAAGTATGAGGGAGCATCTCTTTATTGTCACAGTTGTCGAGATGTCAAACAGACAGGTATTTGGCGGTACATGTTAAAATTAATGGTGAAGCATAGTAAGCATTTTGTTGAGGTAGTTATGTGGGATGATGTTTCAAGTAAGCTAATTGGCAAACCAGCAGATGATCTAAGTGAAGGCCTTAGCTTGGTAAAGTGTTCAATTTATATTCTGTGTTATGTTTATCTGAGATTTTTAATAATTTGGAATTAGTAGTGTATTTTAAGTATAAAATTTACTGTTCTTCTTTTATGCAGGAGACTTTATCGCCTTCTGATGTTCATAATGATGTCTTGGATTTGATTGGCCGGGAATTCATATTCAAAGTTGGGAATCGGAAATTCAATACCCTTACAAATCAGAATGAGTGTACAATAGCTGTGTTTTCTGAAAACGCAGAAAAAATTAAAGGGCTGAAGGAGTCTGTTCAAGAGGAAGTATTTGAGGTATTAATTGTCTCCACAAAGTAATTAAAAATTTATGAAAACGGAATAAAGTTGATTGTTGCCGGCATAGTAAATTTTTCCCTTTTAAATAACCATATTTGAAAATAGCCCATTTGAAATTAGTTTCTACAAACTTGCAAACACTTGAACTTTAACATACACTTGTGTAAATACTTTATTAAGATGCTGTTATACTACTTTTGTGCTTAACTGTTAAACTAAAAAAGTAATCTCACACAAAAAGAGGAACTTGGCTTTTAAACCTGCTCACAACTTTGCTGTATTGTGGTATTTATGTAATAAAAAAACTAAAACTCTAACGCTTGGTTACTATCCTTTGGTTCGTATTAGGTATATAACTCAGATTCCGATCTTGATTTGATGTGTGGTGAAGACACCAATGTCGAATCAAATATGGTAAAATATTTACAACTTTGTTATAAATAGAAAATTATATGCAAATTAGTGAAAAGGAACTGATCTAGGTGTGCAATTTTTCAGACGCCGCACTCACAAGATGTTGAATCTCATTGTACCCCCGAGTCGGTTTTGTCCAAGAGACATGTTAATGATGAAAATGCATCTGATGGAACGGAACAAAGCTCAGCCACCAAGAAATATTATTATGTGCATAACTAGAGTGTTAAAATGCACATGTCACTACTTATTTTCAGGAGATAGGTGCACAGAGATACCTGATACATTTTCAGATGATGATGGGATCGCATTTGATGGTAAATAAAATTGGTTATGAGTTATTCATCGAGTAGTATTTTTTAACCATCGTGCCTTTTACATCAGCAAAATGAAATGAAATTTATTAATTTATAAACATAATTATTTCTTTTATTTGCAGTGGAAGACGCATCATATGCATTTAATTCGTATGAAGGTATTTAGTAGTTTTTTATTGAGAACATTTTAAAGATTTTTTATATGATCATTATTATTAAATAGATTAATGAAATGAATTTAAGTATTTGTGGAATATGTTTGAGATTATTTCTATTTTTCGTATGCAGATTATTTAGATCTGGGTGACAGTACTTACACATGTGAGTATTGTGGATCTCTATTTTGGCATGCTGAAAGAGTTAAAAGACATGGAAAGCAAAAACCAAAGTTCTCAATGTGTTGCAATCAAGGAGATGTTGTACTCCCCAAGATGCAAACACCCCCACAGTTGTTAGGGGCTTTGATATTTGGCACAGATGAGCGTAGTTGACATTTCCTTAAAAATATACGTTCATATAATTCTATGTTTTCGTTTACTTCAATGTGCGGAAAAACTGATGGAAGCATAAATAGTGGCACTTCACCTCCCGTGTTCCGATTGAATGGTCAGAATTATCACACAATTGGAAGCCTTTTGCCAAAGGATGGACAACGACCTAAGTTTCTACAGATGTACTTATCTGATCCAGCTGAAGAGATTGCACACAGAATAAACGCTGTGAGGTAATTTTTAGAAAGCACAATTATTAAATGAACATTAAATCTTCACAATGAGAATTAAATTCGCTTTTAAAAACTTTAAATGATCAGGAAAATGAATTTAAAAAACATTAATTTTAATGCTTCAAAATAGTGCATACGGTTGAGAGTAATAATGTTTTGTACAAATGAAAAAAAAATCATTAGTACAATTGTTTCAGCAACTATTTTCAAATGATAGTTAATTTGTGAGCAAATGTTCTAAACTCTATGTGAACAAATTCAGTAGTTTTAATCTATCTTTAATTGTAATATAATACAATTATTATGTTTTCTTATTTTAAATATCCCTTGAATAGTATCACTCCGTCTGTACCACTAATTAAATAAATATGATGCAGGAATGAGGATGATACCTCCTTGCAATCTTCATTGGTGCAAGACTTGAAAGAAATGCTTGACACATACAATGTGCATGCAAAATCATTCAGAATGGCGAGAGATCGATTTAATGAGTCTAATTCCACCACATTGAAAATGAAACTCATCAGAAAAAGGCACTCAGAAGGCCGCACTTACAACATGCCAAGTGTCAATGAAGTTGCAGCGCTAATTGAAGGTGATTTTGATGTAAACAAAAAAGAAAGAGATGTGCTTCTTCAAACAAAGACAGGTGCTCTACAAATTATTTCTGAATTGAACCCGTCTTTCTTGGGTTTGCAATACCCACTTTTATTTCCATATGGCCAAGATGGGTTTAGAGAAGATGTGTCGTTGACGCGTGCAATAAATAGCGAGAGCGAGAGTGGGAGGAGGCGTGTCACCATAAAAGATTTCTTTTCATACAGATTGCAGGAGAGGACTGATGAATCACCTTATCTATTGAGATCAAAGAGATTGTTTCAACAATTCATTGTTGATGGGTATACAATGGTTGAATAATCACGATTGCAGTACATCCGTCTCCACCAGAAACAGTTAAGAAGTGACTTATATAGTGGCTTAGCAGACGCTGCTGGAAGGGGAGAAACGGATGCATCTAGAGTCGGCCAATTAATTGTTTTGCCAAATTCCTTCACAGGTAGTGCACGCTTTTTTTTGAAATAATTCATAATGACAAACAGTCCTACAGAAGCCAACATAAAATTATCATTCACTTCTTTTGTAATTTGTGCAATCCATCAAATTGAAATCCGAAAAAGAACATGTTGTAACAATCCTTCTTTTTTGTGGCACAGGTAGTGCACGCTATATGTTGCAAAATTACCAAGATGCAATGGCTATATGTAAATGGGCGGGGTACCCACAACTATTCATCACATTTACATGTAATCCGAAATGGCCGGAGATTATTCGCTATGTTGATGACAAGGGATTGGATCCAAATGACCGACCGGATATCCTTTCCAGGGTTTTTAAGCTAAAACTCGAACTTCTCATCTAGGATCTGAAGGAAAATAAGTTATTTGGTGATGTCAAAGCAGGTAATATTTAAATTCATGACTGTGTATAAATAAGAACTATGTGCTAAAGTATTAGTTCAATTTCTGGTATCTTCATGAAATATAAAGTAATTACAAATGTTTAAAATGACAAACCTTCTTAATGATTGTAGACCAATGTGAAAAAAATTATATATATATTTTGGGATACATGCCATCTTTAATTAATACGCAATATATTTAAGGGGATACTTAGGTCAGTCCGGACTGACAAGAGCTGTCATCAGGTCAAGCCTGTCTGAGGGTCTTTGCAGTCGATTTTTTTGATGAAAGTTTGTGAGCATTTTCTTCATGAAGTTTAGAATTTTCACACATACTTTCAGCTTAAAATTCAATTGTAAAGTCAATTAAATAATTCTATGAAAAATAATGCATTTTTTATGCATATTTTGGTGCATTGCATTTCAATAATAAAATTTTTAACTGACTTTCCAATAGAATTTGGATATGAAATTTTGTTGAGATAATTATTGAAACTTCATTATCCATATATTCACACAAACCTTCAGCTTTAGATTCAATCATTAAGTAAGTTAACTAAATTTTTGCAAAACACTGTGTTTTTTATGAATAATTTGCACAGTGTGTTTCAATGATTTATTTAGTTGGCTTCTCAGTATAATTTTAAGCTAAAATGTTTTGGAGATAATCTAAACTTCATGATGAACGTTCGCACAAAATTTGAGCTTAAGATTCAATCTGAAAGTAAGTTAAAATATTTGTTTGAATGACAATGTGTTTTTTATGCATATTTTTGGGCAGTGCGTTTTAATGATTTATTTTATTAGGTTCTCAATTGAATTTTAAGTTTAAACTTTTTGGAGACAATAAAAAATTCGTGAAAAATAATCTCATCACCAAATATCTTCAAAAACGTCCACCGGGAAGGTCCTCAGATTGCGTCATCCGAATGGCTGTTATGGTCAGTCCGGACAGACAGGAAAATTAGTCATACATATAGACAGTGGTTCTGGTGCGGACTGCCGGATGAAATGAATTCTCTATGTATGTATGTGTTTAGGCGATTTAGATACGGAGTACTATGTATTTGTGTTTTTGTATATTTTTTTAAAACAGATTTAGAAATTGGCCGTTAAACATATAAATACAGACGACTATGGTTTTATAAAAGTAATGAAATTCATATTATGTTCAGTTTAATTTTGAAATATAAAAAACATTTTCTTAAAGATGAATTATGATGTGAAATACATAAAAAATGTTATGCGATAGAGAACCTATATGTGTATATCCTTAAGCACACATGTCACTTTTTTTTGAAAGAACATGTGTCATTTATATATGCAAAAAATATAACAATCACTTGACAATTTTAATTTAATTATCTTATTAATCAAAAACATTTATTTTAATTTTGTTGTGCAGTTGTCTACACTGTGGAGTTTCAGAAACGTGGATTACCACATGCGCACATTGTATTGTGGCTTTCGATGACAGAGCGCAATGCAAACCCATCGGTGATGATCGATAGAATTATTTCAGCAGAGATCCCAGATGAATATGTTGACCCTGTGTATTACAATGCAATTAAAGAATTGATGATCCACGGTCCATGTGGCCCTATGAATGCATCTGCACCATGCACAGAAAAAGGCCAGTGCACAAAGCACTTTCCAAAGAGATTTGTCGTTCGCACGACAATGGATAAGCAAGGTTATCCGATTTACAGACGCAGAGACAACGGCAGGTATGTCACTAAGAATACCCACGATCTCGATAATAGATATGTCATCCCACACAACTGTGGCTTATTGTTGAAGTATAGTGCTCACATTAATGTCGAGTGGTGTAACCAAACACGGGCAGTTAAGTACTTATTTAAGTACATCAATAAGGGTGACGATCGGATAACCGTGGAGTTCTCAGAAGCTATAGATAACTCTACTCCAAAAATAATAGATGAGATTAAGATGTACTATGACTGTCGGTATATATCCGCATGTGAGGCTGCTTGGAGAATTTTCGGATTCCATATTCATTATCGAGATGTACCAGTTGAGCGTCTCACTTTTCATCTTCCTGATGCACAGAACGTATACTACAATCCCAATGCATCTATAAGCTCAGTACTGAATAAACCAACAATCAACTCCACAAAATTCACGGCTTGGATGAAAGCAAATCAAGTGTATCCTACTGCCAAAGAGCTGACGTATGTTGAGTTTCCAAGCAAATTCAGGTGGAAGAAAAATACCATGGAATGGGTAGAAAGGAAGAGAGGATTTGCTATTGGACGCATTTATTATGTACGACCTGGAGCAGGGGAGAAGTACTACCTACGAATATTGTTGAATATTGTGAAGGGAGCAACCAGCTTTGAGGAGTTGAGGACTTATGAAGGGACCGTATATCCTACATTTAGAGATGCGTGCCACGCGCGTGGTTTACTTAAAGATGACAAGGAGTTTATTGATGGCATTACAGATGCGAGCTTCTGGTCTTCTTCACGGTCACTTCGCATTGTATTTGCTACTCTACTGGTTTCAAATGAGTTTTCGAAGCCAGGCTTAGTGTGGCAAAAGTGTTGGGAGTTTTTCTCTGATGACATACTATACAATATTCGCAAGAATACGGGTAATCCAGGTATATTATATTCTAAACCATCTTTTTTTATTTTTAGTGAATTACTCGCTTATAAAAATTTATATATTTTAGTTCTACAATAATTACTTCTCGATGAAATACTTAATAGATTGTCTTACATACATAGCTAATGACATATTAAGTGAGATAAAAAAAATGTACATGATAGTATATTAATATATATACGAAAAAGATCACATCAAGTAGTTTTGCAAGGAAGCCCTGTCCAAACTTGACTATCAGGTGTGATGCCGTTGGAAATTTTTAATGAAATTTTATGAGAACCTTCCTCATGAAGTGTAGATTATATCCACAAATTTTCACCTTGAAATTAAATCAGGAAATCAGTTGAATAAATCATGGAAAATGACTGCATTTTTCGTGTACATTCTGGCGCAGTTGCTTTTAAATTTGGTGGTAATAAACTATACTTGATGATGAGAATACTCACAAAATTTCATTAAAAACTATCACCGGGAACTACCTGTGATAGGAAAGTTCGAACGGGGTTTAACGTAACAACTACCTGAGCTAATCATTACTTATATATATGAAAAAGATCATCATAAAAAATATTTTTTGAATATACTAAATGTTAGTAGTTTATTACCTTATTAAAATTATTTATTACAAAATATTTATTTAGGTAATATGAACGATACCTTCTACTATGTTACCGTGTACATTAACGTAGTTTACTATGGGAGTACTTCTTACTATGTTATATATGCCTTTTGGATGCTTTTTCATAATAGTATAAAAAATATACGTAGAGTGAACTTATTATATTTACTAAATTGACAGAAAAGATCTAAAAGGTTTAACAAATAAAGGTCTATCAATTAATACAAATAACAGCACTTTTACTATTACTTAATTTTTACTATACATTTTCACTTAAAAAATACAAAAAGCTATGCATCTTTTCATGCTGAGTGATGAATTTAATAAAATATACAACATTTAATTACTGAATTAGTAAACATGTTTTCTTTATGTGCATGTTAATTAAAGTTAGAAGTATTGCATGTGTAATTTGGTTGTGATGAAATGTATATATTGTGGAATATTTGATTTATTAGTTTAATCTTAACTAAGGTACTAAAATATTTAAATGCGCTACTGCAGATTTTGAACTGGATAAAGAGAAAATTGAAAAGTACCGTTTGTTGGAGATTCAGAAGCTCTTGCATTCGAGAGATAGATCACTACGTGATTTTGCTGGCATACCCTTGCTACCTGATGATGAAATGCCCTCGCTTGAAGAAGTTCTCATTCATGAAGAGCTGCGGTATAATAAATCGTATCTGATTGAGGAGCATGCAAAGTTGTTGGCCGAGATGACAGATGAACAACGTGTTGTGTATGATAGGATAATGGAATCTGTAGATAGTAGAAACGGGAAATTCTACTTTTTATATGGCCACGGAGGAACTGGGAAAACATATCTATGGAGGACTTTGTCTGCGGTTGTGAGATCTCGCGGTGATATAGTTCTTAACGTGGCTTCAAGTGGTATAGCATCGCTTCTCTTGCCTGGAGGAAGAACCGCACATTCGAGGTTTGCGATTCCACTTAGTGTTGTAGAAGACTCCACGTGCAACATAAAACATGGTAGTCCATTGGCCAAGCTGATAGAGTTATCTAAGTTAATTATATGGGATGAAGCACCTATGACGCACCGACACTATTTTGAAGCTCTTGATCGGAGTATGAGAGACGTGCTTCGTTACTCCAGCCACTGTGACACTACCTTGCCTTTTGGTGGGAAGACGATTGTATTTGGTGGTGATTTTAGGCAAATTCTTCCTGTGATACCAAAAGGCACGAGACAAGATATTGTGCACGCCGCACTGAACAATTCATTCTTGTGGTCACATTGTACTGTAGTGAGGCTTACTAAAAACATGAGGCTAGCAAGGATGCTCGGCCAGCCGGATGGACCAACTATCCAATCTTTTGCAGAGTGGATTTTGAAGATTGGTGACAGAGCTTTTGCTGAAAATCAAGACGGAGAATCACTAATTGAAATACCAGACGATATGATTGCTCCAATGACGTCTGATCCTGTTGAATCTATAGTTCAAGCTATTTATCCAGATTTCTTAACCCAGTGTGATCCGATTAATTATCTTTATTCCAGGGCTATTCTTGCTCCAACCATAGATGAGGTTGATAAGGTCAACGATTACATGTTGAGCCAGATAGATTCAGAGTTAAAGACATACCTAAGTTCAGATTCAGTTTCTTCATCTGACTCGGATAGTAATGATCTCTTGCATGAGATACATTCTCCTGAATTTCTTAATAACATCAAATGTTCTGGCTTGCCGAGTCATGAGCTCAAGCTGAAAGTTGGAGTTCCTGTGATGCTTATGAGGAATATCGATCATTCATCTGGATTGTGCAACGGCACACGACTTCTGGTCACTAAACTTGGAACTCATATTATTGAGGCTCAGATGATGCACGGAGAAAATGCCGGCGAAAAATTTCTTATTCCCCGCCTTACTTTGACACCATCGGACATTAGTCTACCGTTCACTTTTCAGCGTAGACAATTTCCGTTAATGGTTAGCTATGCAATGACCATCAACAAGAGCCAGGGACAGTCATTGGAAAAGGTTGGCATCTTCCTCCGTCGTCCTATTTTTACGCATGGACAGTTGTACGTGGCTGTCTCGAGAGTAACAAGTCCGTCTGGGTTAAAGTTTGTTATATGTGACGAAGAAGGGAAACCAAAGAAGTCAGCGTTGAATGTAGTATACAAAGAAGTTTATACTAATTTGTAGTTCCCTTGCTTTACATGCATACATCCATACTCATTGCTAGCATATCACTTCATGATATGTACTTAACTTTTAGCATTATTTCTTAATGTCGTATTAAATATGAATACGTATTTTATTTTATTGTTTAATGTGATTAGTTTGTTTTAGTTTTTAATTTTATGTTTTGAGTTAGGTTAATTGACTATGAAATTCTTTGAGTATATATTTGGTTGATCCAAACATCTCACTCCCGTGCGTAGCACGGGTGGAGTTACTAGTGTTATTTTAAATGTGTGCATCTGTATCAGCTTCACAGGCTTTCTATGCTTGTGATGTATCCATTTTTATGGGGTACAATCCATTTTCTCATTAAAGATGCTCTTAGTGGGACCATCGATTGATGAAAAATGCATTGTCACGTCATAATGAGATAAAATTTTCTCTCCAATGGAAATATGGATCAAAGATGTGCTGCTGACGTGGAATTTGAAAATAACGGAGACTTTATAGCTCGTTGTCTACTTGTAGAAGTCCTGCCTCACAGGTAGAGTCAACATATCATTTAATTCATAGTATTTTTTCCGTAATCGTAAATTTTACTTCCCTTCCACCGATGCACACCGGGATGTAGCCTGCAGTACAACGGTAGTAACCAAACGCGACAAGCCAGTCACTAACGCCAACTATCTAGCAGTCCCTTGTGATGCCACAACAGTCCTCTAGGCGACAACCGCTAGCAGCCCCCTTTTTCCTGGCTTGTTTTGTTTTCCGGCAACAGAAAACCGACGTGACTTTGAATTGAAAGAACATTCTGGAAGGAGGAGGAGGGTCAAGGATGTATATCTGTCAATAGCTTGTACGTTTGATTGTTTGAACTCTTCACTGAATATATATAAATACATATATATACACATAGATAAGAGATCAAATACAAACCATACTTAAAATACTAACTTATAAACTCAATAATATACAACACTTTGAACTTCAATATACAATACAAATAATGAAAGATGCACACTGTGAACTTCAATATGCAATACAAATAATATGCAACACTTTGCACTTCAATATGCAATACAAATAATATGCAACACTTTGAACTTCAATATGCAATACAAATAATGTAAAGATACACAGCTTGTGACAGTTTGTAGGTTAGTATGGGAGGACTAGTTTGTGTCAGATCCCACCCCTATACATGCATGCATGCATACATACATACATATGTATGTGTGTGTGTGTTCACACACTGGCACACATGAGTTGGTCAAGACAGCTTGTTGGGTATTTTTGCGAATTAGGACGAGAGATGTTGGGATGATGATGTAAGTTTTGAATATGTGCTTCTTCTCCTCGTTGGCCTGAGACTGGTTGTTGCATTCCAGTCTTTTTTTACAGAATGCATATGGATCTTCTTCTGTTGTACTTCCCTTGTTAACTGGTTTTGTCCTTCTTTTCCCATGGTATGTACGAATGCATATATCAAATGTATGTGTGTGTGAAACATACTGCATACTTTTACTTGGGTAAGAACGATGAATTAAATATTTTTATTTAATTGCCGAACGGATGAGAGGTTGAGGACCATTGGAGATGAAATTTGATTTTAATGACGCGTCTGTCCACGTCATCTTCACGGGCTATCTATATGGATGACATGTCCATTTTTATGGGATGCAATTGATATTCGTGTTGGATATGCTCTTACCAATCAGGGGGTGACTTTCGGTCCGTACACTGATGCTATCGGTCTTTCATTTTGCTCGGTTGCTCCCCACAAGCTATTTTTTGTTCACCTCAACAAAAATAAAATTATGTTTTCTTATTCACATACTATTATTAAGAGCATGTTTGTTAATATCAAAATCGGGTCAATCGATTGATGTTGCTGAAATTCTAATCGAAGTCACTGAATTAGCTGATTCTGTTGATTTATTAAAACATTATATCTAAAATATATTTTATTAATAAAATAAATAAAAAGTTATATGTAAAATTGATAAAACAGTTAGTAATTTCAACCAATACAGCTACAAAAGTAACTTCAACCTAGCTTTTTCTTATTATTACACAATTCAGTGCGGAAATTAAAATTTACGCGTTTGGTGAAAAAATTAACCGATAAGTAGAAAAAACAGAGGTGCCAAACGAGATCTAAATAATCTGTATCCATTAATTCTACTAAAATAAATAATAATGATATCATAGTGTTAAACCAGTGCATTTTTAAATAAAATTGACCTCTAATAAAAAATACTCCACATTTCTTTAAGATTCGTGTTATTCAACTAGGTAGTTCTTTTTTTTAAATAAAATATGGTTTAAATTTTACCCATAGAAATCATTGCGGCCATCTCCCTACTATAGGGTTTGTGACTTCTCCACTTTCGTCTTAGACGAAGTGCGGCTCTGAGCAAAACGAAGGCAGCAAACGACTTTCGTGACTGGTTTCGTTCGAGCAAGCAGGAGGCTATTGTGGCAAGCAGGCGCGGCTCGAAGCTTTTCAATGAAGGATATAGTCAATCAGTATGAGCACATGGACATTGGAGGGGATGGAGAGGCGTTGGTATTCGATGATGACGAGGTCGATGAGGATGTGGCCAACGAGTGGCGGGCTATTTTTCCGATGGGTGGCACACTACTTACATGTCGGAAGATAAAATTTCATATTTTCAAGGATCTTATGGTCTCTGTGACGTCCCGACAAAGGTGCTCCTAACAAAGAGATCGACGAAAAGATGTACTACCTCCTTCCCATAAAATTCTTCACACTTTTACTTGGCACGGAAATTAAGAACATGGAAATGTATGGTTGTGGTTGTGTAAGAAAAAGGTGAAATGAATGTGAACAACACAAATTGTCCAAAAATGGTAAGTGGAAAGAATTTTTTGGGACGGCCCAAAAAGGAAAGTGGGAAGAATTTTATGGGACAGATGGAGTATCTTTTCACCTTTTACCATATTGTGTATATGAGATGTGTGTTAGAAAGTGGTATGTGGTTGTTTGAAAGGAATTTGTTGATCCTCAAGGAAATCAGGTTAGTGGATATTCCCCTCAAGGTTAACCTAAATGAGGTTGATTTCTGGGTTCAGGTGCATAATATCCCTTATGACTTTGTAAACATAGGCACTGCTAGGAGGTTGGTAATTTTATTGGAAAGTTCATTAGCTTTAATGAAGTCAATTTGAAGGAAAATGAGATGCTTATATGCGAATTAGGGTTTGTATGGAAGTCGGAAAACCTTTGAAAAGGGGAACAACTCTTAGGAAAGGGGGAGTTGGTCAATGGGTTGATTTCAAATAAGAAAAGCTGCCTAGCTTTTGTTTTGTCTGTGGGGTCATTGGCGATTCTGACAGGTTTTGCTCTTTGACATATGAAGGGGATAATACGGTGTTGGAAAAATCTTATGGGGTGGAACGTAGAGCACGGGGAGACAAGTCCTACAGGGGGTACGATTGATCCAGGCAAGGGCATGACTGGGGAAGGAAACCCAGTGAGTACAAAGGAGGTATCGGTGACCAGAAGCGCATGAGGCTTTGGGAGGAGCAGGAACAGGATTATCCAAACGGTGATACCATTATGGCACTTGACAAGCAAAAAAACAGGAAGGCGTCATATTCCGAACTTCAGACCCGCCGGATTTCTGAAGCAGGCTTATTGTTGATCTGGAGTGTGGAAGGTTCTCGTGTTCTTAAGGACGAAGCAAAAGTTTAATTTTACTGTCTTTATTAGTGCTCTCTATCTGAATGTTGTGATATCAATTTAAATCTCCTTCCAAAAAACTAGATAGTTCTTTTAAAAATGGAGTCATTACAACATTACTGGCTTTCATGTTCTTCTGTTTGCAGCATTACTCTAGCCTTTTTCCATTTCAACAACAACAACAACATTCAAGCCTTAATCCAAAAGAAATTGGGGTCGGCTAACATGAATCGATCTATGATATCGATGTCAAACAGAGAGACGGACAAAGAAAGGGGAAAGAAGTAAGATAAAACGGATAAAATAAAGATAAATAAATACTTCGTATAAGATAACAATAACATAAGAACATAAAAAAGATAAAAGAAAAAAAAATAAAAGAGCATAAAAAGCTAGAAGATAAAAATAACATAAGAATATAAAAGATAGAGAAGATAAACGATAAAAGAAAAGAGAGGAAATGTAGAAAAGACATTAATCGTCCACATAGAATCACAGATGTGTGCCTTCCACATTGCTCTCTCCAAAGTCATACTCACATCCAACACAAGAAAACGCATATCACTTCTGATTTCATTGATATTATTTAATTAAATTCAAAAAACAAAAATATTACTTATTTTAAAAAATTTCAAAAATATAACATATTTAGTTACTAGTTCACAGTGACTCATCATCTACAATGACTTGTCATTCTAAAATTACTACTTCACACTAACTCATACACTTTAATATAGCGGTAGTCATAAATAAAATAGCCCTCTTGAAATCATAACATATTATAACAATATCATACTACCTTCGTCCCTTAAAACTTTGAAAAAGTTGAGCGGAACAAAGAATAATAAAGTAAAAACTGTGTGATTGAGGTTTGTGCACAGGAGAGAAATAACACTAACCACAAAATAATTGATTAAAAGTAAAAGTGGCAAAGTTTTATAGAACATCCCAAAAAGGAAAGATGGCAAAGTTTTATCACATGATTTTAGCACGGAGTATTTGGTATTTACGATTCTGTACAATTTAGGATAATCACTTCATTTCATTTTTACTCCTGTGTAGGACAATTTCTTTTCTTTTTCCATTACCAACTAGGCAACTACTGAAGTCAGAGTGGGGCGAAAAAGATTATAGTAAGGCCATTGAGTAAAAATAAGAGAACTCTAAACGGAAACTACATAGATTCTAACATTGCATTATGTTACACACATTCTGAAAAGGGGATAAAATGAATGAATACAGAGGGGAGCTTATTGAGGGCTTGCAGTTAAAAAGACAAGCCTGGTTGAGATTTAAGAGACAGACAGTATACATGAACTGAATCCACCTATGGGCCACAAAGACTTGTATTATATACTGACTGCATCAAGGCTATCAAGCCATCAAGAATGAATAAGCATCTCAAATTTGAGCAGGAGAAGATACAATGGTGAAGAATGTCAGTCCTGGAGTAGTGGGAACTCTGTCAAAACTTCATATCCCACCCAATCTCCCTATAAGCTACCAATTTCTGGCAATGGGATTTTCCAGTAGTTCCATGCATTGTAATCTTCCTGCAGATGTAACATTTACCAACCCTTGTTACAAACAAAGAATGGGTGCCCAAAAATACATCCAAAGACCCAAGTAATGGTGAGTGCGAGAAGAGTCAAGAACAGATTCACTTAAGTGAATAATCCACGGATATTACTGTTATAGAATATTACCTTGAGGAACGACATTTGCAAAAATTGAAAGACAGGAAACTATATTTCAATATGTGAAATGAATGAGGAGCCAAAAGTGTAATCTTCGCTTCCAATATTGTGGGGATATTACTGTTATAGAATATTAATGATATATAAACTTCAGCCAATATACTTTAGTTTGTTATAGAAGTTAAGAAAATAATCCATGGATATCTTGGAGTTCATTTAGATCATTCATCGTCCATGGTTTGATCAAATAGGTTTTTTTGAGCAAAAATACTCGAGCAACTTCGGGAAGTAGTAAGACAATGGTCTGTGATTGTTCACAGCTACATGTACAAAAACGGAAATGATGCAGGTAACCAACAGTTACCCAGATTGCATCATCCGAAACAAAAATACCAACCTGCTCAACCATTGATGTTGGCGGAAACATGTCATTTACCAGAGTGTGCAACGAAGTGTATGATTTCACATCAATTCTGTGATGGCTAATTGCCACCTCACCCTGTAAAATTCATAGAAACTTATAAGGTGAAAATGAAACTCAAAACAGGAGTTCATACCAACACACTGATTGATTTGAAAGTTTTACTACCTTGGGGTTGATTATAAAAATCTTGCCCTTAGGAATCCCAATTTTTCTGTAGCTGAGCTCATCTGTGTCTCTATTTCCAAAACCGGCATAAAATGGGTTGTAATCTGGTGGGAAAAGAGCTTTGATATCCTGACAACATTTTATGTATCAGAAAGGTGCACAAAAGTTCAAAGAATAACATTAAACAAAACAATACTAGGCTGTAGAAGATCTAATGGTGCAAAAAAACTGCCCACCTCTAAACATGCAATCTTAAATTCATGAGGAGCTCTTCTTATTACTGCAAAAAGAAAGGATTGCATACATTAACTTGTACTATGGATGTAGCCTGGCAGAAACCAAATATAAAAATGAGGGGAGCTTGATATAATATTTCATTAATCAGATGTTTTACCTTCTCTGTACAGTGACGGAAAAAGACCATCAGGGGAAATAACAACAGGTCCAGTTGGCAAGGTTTTCCCGTCCTAAAAGCATCGAATATTTCTCCCAATTAGCATCATTTTCATGGCATATGAGGCATCAAAAGAGGTACGAGGAGACGAGTACACAACTGATCCACATAAATCTTACAATACTGCATTCTATGTGAAATATAAGGATAACAATAAAACCTGATTTATTTCATATTTCAGTAACTCCCACTTTTCACTTTTATGATTAATTGAAGGACAGCAAGTTAGGCTACTATTGGGAAAATGAGTAGCTGGATGAGAGCTTAGATATGCGAAATGGCACAAAGGCATATGTTTAGAATAACTATTTAAAAAAAGGGTATAAATAGACCATACAAAACAAGACTGTGGTGCTTGTTAGAAAATATACCTAAAGAATATTATGAAGTAAGACCAAACTTAGAAATAAAATCGAGATTATCAATAAGCCCTCACCCGATGAGAGCTTATGTATCAAACATAGCCTTAATATGGCAATATGTGTGTGAAAAACAAGGTGTTTTAAGTATCTATCGTACTCCTTAATACAATGTTTACCCCACAAAAAAAATGGTTCAGGAAAACGACTTCCTAGTTTTAGGCTATGTTAGGTTTCCGGAAAATGCTAGGGAAGGGAAGGAGAATGTTACGGAAAGTTATTTTCTTATGTTCTAAATATTAATAATGTTTTTTTAAGTTTATTTGATTGTATTGATGGTGATCTTTTTAGAAATATTTATATTGCTTAGCATTTATATATATATATATATATATATATATATATATATATATATAAATGCTTAGCATTTATTGGTTTGAAACAGTGTTTTATTGCTCTAACACTTTCTTTGCTTCTAAATTTCTCCAAAACTTTCTTTCCGATTTAATTTCCCTAACATTCTACGCGTTTCAAACAGGCCCTTGAAGAACCAACACAACTTTTTAAAATGTTCTGTCAATCACACAATGACACAAAACCTAAATCATCACACTTCAGAAAACCCCCAAATGATAATACAAATAAAACCAACGATAGACAGCACCTCCTTGAAACGTAAAAGCTAAGGCTGGGAATACCTGTCTTAGATTGTGCAAGAAACTTTTGGTGAGATAAGCTTGAACAATTGCACGTGCACTAAGAAAAAGTAGCTGGTACCCATTTTCCTATAGTTTATGGAAGAAAATTTATCAGAGAAATGCATCCATCTCCAGTACTTCATCATTGAGGAAGAGGACACAGGATGTAAAGTGTTCTGCTACTAATGGTGCCATACTAGTCACCTAAAAAAGCACATATACCTTTATTGCTGAGAAAAGTCTAGCAATTCCAGAATGCGTCCAATCTTTCCCAACCAAAGGCATGAACTGTCCAAGAACATCAGACCTACACAATTTGGTTTTCACTTGTGAACCATAATGTTAGAATGTAAAAAATGGCACCAAAAGAGAAAAAAATGAGTATGTCAATGAAAGATTTAATTTTTGGTTCCTATGTTATCTAATCGCTGAGTACTCGCTACTCGGGGTATGGGCCATATGGCCTTGCCAATTAGAACTCCGACTTGCATTGTTCCATTTTTTCGAGTACTTGGCAATTTTCGATTTTTCTCAACTCTGACAAGGTTGACTCACCGAGTTACTCAAGCCACTAAATTGACTTTTGGGGTTAAATCTGAAAACTTTACATTAAATTAGGATAATAAGGAATTTATGACTAATTAGTAGGTAATTTTAAAATTAGAAAAATAACATTACAAAGGCAGTCTAGGTTTGGGGACATGAAGGATGAAGAAGAAAATTATAAACTTGAACCCAATGAAGATTAGTTTCGGATAAAAGTTCATAATTTTTTATTATTTGGTGATTGATTTTATGGAATTTAATGCTTATGATTGTTGGGATTTGTGGCTACTTCATTGTTATGATTGTTATCATTATATTCATATTTAAGAATTATAAGAATAATATATTACTAAAATTTTGGGGCATTTATGATTTTAGAATTAATTAATACAGGGCTGAGTTATCATTCCTACTCGCTCCTCGGCACGAGTTGCCACCAGTAGCGATTTAACTACTTAGATTATAATTTTTATTATTGTATTCATATAAGACTAATATATTACTAGAAATGTGGGGCATTGTGTCTTTAAATTTATTTACTACAGGGCCGACTAATCGGCCCTTGACCGAGTTGTCACCAAGTTTTAACTACTTAGTTTGTCTCTACTCGGAAAATACAAAGAAAAACAAATCAAATTAAAAAAAATTAAAAATATACTTACATTTTTTTACGCTTCACATAATAGAAATCTATAAATAAAATGGATTTGAACCAAATTTTTAAATTTTTCCAGGTTTTCTTTACATACAAAAGGTTCCTACTATTTTCTTCCTATACCAATTTCCGAGTTTCAACAGACTCTGAATGTATATTATCTTCTAATATACCAAACCACATACAAAGTCAAATCATAGTCTTACTTGGTAATGGTACCATCAACATCAGAAATTACAATCCGTGCATTCCACTTCCACAGGTATATATGAGCTTCAACCTATTTCAAAAATTCATTTAACCAATGAAAGGAAGAGTGTACTTTATGTGAAAAGGTCAACAACATGAAAGATCAAATACCTTTTGCACCCCTAGGACCCTTGTAGAGAAAATGAAGACAACCATATTTTGCCCCTCTTTCAGGTTTAAAGAAGCGATCTGCTCAGAGGTCGGAACATTTGTTCTGACAAACTGTTTACAAGGACTTGGTTCTGCAGCCTGGTTCTGTAAGCTACACTCTGAATCAACAAAAACATCCTCAGTTGACACACCACTACTGGTGTGCTCAAGTGTCTTAACCCTTCTGAATGGAATCGGCCAAAGCCTCCATCGCCTTCCAGAAGGAGATCTCTCAATTCCAGAAACTTCTACTACAGTTGGTTTTAGAGTTTCCTCCTGCTCAATAGTGATTACATCTGTATGTTCGATAGGTAAATCCAAGTCATATGCAGTCATCCCAAGTACAAATGGAGCAGCTTTCTCCCAAGATAAGTACCTCCCGTGGATTCTCACAACCAAGTTTTTGTTGTTAATTATTGACCTTGCAGAATTTTTAAATTCCATCTCAGGTATGCGATTTGCATTGAACACTTCTGAAGCCGAACACAGCCCCATTCCAGGATAAAGAAGGTGCCCACAAAGGGATATCTCTAATCCTGTACATATACAATAGTGATGTCTATTAAGTAAGATGCCCTACTTCATATGAAGTTATATTTATATAAAGAGGGGGGATCCCAAAAGCTAAGCAAATACTTTCTGCCTGAATATATATAGTCATCTCTCACCAATGTACAGCTTTTAAATTTTAGTAACAAAAACTATTGGATATCATCATTCATCAACTATAGCTGCATTTTTAAAGCTTATTTGTTGGTTTAACTAAATTTAGCATACTTAACTTAAATAGGTATTCTATTTTTTTGGGGGGAGGGGGGGTATACTAAACGTAATGAATTAGCTTCTTCTGTGTAAAAATAACATTTTACTGGGACAAAAATATGTTTTGAAAGATGACTTTTGTGACAGAGGGAGTAGCATGGTTGTTTTATTAAAAACCATGAAATATACAGAAAATTAGGTTCTTTTAATAAAAGGAACCAGTGAGTAGCATTTTTATTCAAAATATATACCCAAATTCAAACACCCATTTACAATCCAACTGATGCCAAATAGATGCAAGTGCAAATGGTATGATAATCAGGGAATCAGGGGAGTGATCATACTTGTGCTTGAACCAGTGATCATCATGCCATCGCCAGCCGAAGCTGTAGTCTGTTCCATACCTTCACATTGAGCACCTTCATCTGATCTTAGCTGGACACTTTCTAGTTCTTTTTCTTCTTGTGTTCCCTCAATTTGTTCATCTGAAGCTTCATTTAAAACAAAATGAACATGACGCCTATCCGAACCATTACTATTTGGAGTATTCTCAGAATCATTGCCATTCACAAATAGTACAGAAGGGCCACTTTCAGTTTCACTTATTTCTGAAGTAGTTCTAGATGACACGTCCAATGATGACACCATGGTTGGTTGGTTGGACTCACTATCAACCTGCAAGGCGAGTTCTGGTAATGCTAAACAGCTTCCAAAAACATCATCCTTCTTGATCCCAGATGGTGACTCGACCTGCATGATGTCACCACCCCATTTAACATTTTCAGTGCTAATCTTTGAATTACCTTCCTCGCAAAAATCGGTTTCTTCACCTGGCCCAAGATGAAACTGGGGAGTTCCCAACTCCAAATTATCTGCATTCCTTTCGGACGAAGAAATGGGTGCAGTCAATACATGACCATCCACACTCACCAAAACAACTTCTGAGCTAGAACTTCCAGAGTCCAAAACATGCTCCCCAGCTTCTAGATTCTCATAGAGACTAGATTCATATCCAGATAAGTCAATTGACCCCTCAAGAGAAGAATCCACGTCATCAAACTCATAAAATCTCCTCCCAGACTCTGTCCTATCCAACTGAATCTCCAACAAGGCCTCATTTGAGAGATTTGGCTCAGGTTTAGGTTCAGGGGAGTCAGTTTCTCCATTACCAGTACTGTTTGAATCTTTCAAGCGTTCATTTGAATCACTGCTGTTTTCCTTGTCGGTGTCATCAACTTCCCTTATGAAATAGGCCTCTCCGGAATTGTCTAGATACATGTGGAAATCTGCCTCAACTCCATTAACTTCTATCCTAACCTCCTTTTCTGCCCCTTTGAGCACACCTTGGAATTTGCCAAAACGGACATACCAAGGGGTGCTCCTGAAACTCCCATCCTGCTGTTTAACCGCAATAATGTCAACAGCCCCACCGAATGGATGAAAAGGTGTCGCAACAGAGTACACACCTGCAGTTATAATGCTTCCAACTTTTCCCACCACATTCATCTGCTCCTTCCAAACAAGAACTACTGAATACACAAATTCACTTACTAATGTAATAGTATCCAATCAAAGAAACCAATTAATTCCTAAACAACCGCAGTTCAAAATCTTTACCAAGTTCTTCTGAAGGAAGATTTCAGCACCAAACCAGTACTCCCTAATAAGGAAGACACAAGAGAATAAATGAATAAATACATCACTAGAGATAAGAAACCCATGGTTGCATGATTAACCCCAATACACCAGAAGAATAGCAGCAAGCATTTCAAGAATCTTGAAGAGAGTACTCCATAGCCAAGAATATAAAGATTAGCAAGAGACTTACAGATGGATAGAACTGTAGAAGGCTATGTGAAGTGGAATGACCAGCGGATCGATCGATGCAGCCCTCAGGCCTAAATTTCAAAACCCCAACAGAGACAGAAACTAAAAAAGAACTTTCTGCTCTGCGAATTTCCTCCAAGGCTATGTACAGTATTTCTCTCTCTCTCTCAAAACGGATAGGGACAAGGGCGAAGTTTCTTATGCGAAGTCAAATACTTTTTCTTGAATTTCTTAATTGATTGATGCTGCTTATGTGGTGGATGGGTAGAGAAATGAATAAAATGTGGAGTTTTTTCCGATTTAGGGGTGTTTTTCAAACTTATTTCCCAAACTAAGTTACTTTTAAACTTATTTCCCAAACAGGGGTATTTTTTGCCATGTCACCTCAGTATCACTGCTGGGCGCCACATCAGCTTATCCAGAAAGGCATGTATGTAAACCACTACACTACACCATTCACTTGTTAACAAATGTCTTTTAAGAAGTATAAATCATGTATACTTCACCCCGGGAGTGCACTATTTCTTAATCGCATGTATTATTTGTTCCTTTAGAAATACGAAGTATATTTCTTCCTTTCCCAAACAATTAAAAATATAACAATAAAAAACTTATAAAATAAAATAAAACATAAGTAAATTTCATGCTAGTCCACTTTAAATTCTATAAAAGGTTTAATATTAATGTAAAATATCGTATAAATTTTTCTTTATGAAAATTCTCTAACAGCTCAATTTTGTTCAGCCTCAGCTCGACTCCGCCTCAGAACCAAGCATTTTTCGTTTATAAATTTATCAAGTTTTTTTCTTTCTTAGATAAATATTATATGATTTTCTTGACATGAATAATATCTGATTTTAAATTGGGGTGGGATAGAGCCTTTCATAACATTTAGTAACAATAAATTTTAATTAAGTCTTTATTTTTAATTATCACAAACCTAGTATTTTGCATAATTTTTTAATTATTTTAAAAAGAAGCTATATATTTTTAAAGCAATGAGTAATACACAGCTAAATGTATACATTCTTCGACTTAAAGTATTTGTATTGCAAATTTCACTAAAATTTAACATGTTGCAATTTAGTTCAAATTTGAGTGTTGTATTTGAATTTGAAACAATAATAATCAATGAGAAAATTGAACCGAGTCCAGAAGAGTTGAGCTGCTATAATGAAATAATCACAACGAAAAGCTTAGTTTGCGATATTTAATTCTATAAAAATGTAATTTAAATTTATAAAAAAATTGAAGTATATAATTTAAAAGTTATTTGAAATAACTCAAAAGTAAATAAAATAAAAAATAAGTAAATTTCATGCAATAAGTAACTTAGAAATATGACATTTATTTTAATTGATTTTATTTCATTTGAAGCTAAGTTATTTAAAAAAATACATATTCCAAATTGTGTTTTGTCATTATAAGTTTAGATTAATTTTTTGTATTCTAAATAAAATATTTCTTTATTTTTCAAATTAAATTAGCAAATTATGTTTTTATTATAAGTTTTAATAAGATTTTTAATTGAATAACTCAAATTCAGTTTTTTATTATTACATTTTTTATTGTTTGGTAAAGAGAGATATTTCTAAAGGAACGAATAATACACGCGATTAAGAAATAGTGCACTCCCGGGATGAAGGATACATGATTTATACTTCTTAAAAGGCATTTGTTAACAAGTGGATGATGTAGTGTAATGGTTGACATACATGCCTATCTTGTGTTCCACCCAAGTTCGAATCTTATTAGCTTCATTTTTTTCTATATTTTAGAAGCACACCTAAATTCTCAAAATTGATGACATGGAATTGATGGGATACTGAGGTGACATGGCAAAAAATACCCATGTTTGGGAAATAAGTTTAAAAGTACCTTAGTTTGGGAAATAAGTTTGAAAAACACCCCTCCATGGGAAAAAACTCATAAAATGTGGGTTTTGTTGGAAAATGGCTGAGGGGGTTTGGAGAATTTAATGAAAATTTTCTGACTTTCGTGTAAGAAACCAACCAGGGAGAAAGAGTCATAAATTCCTCTGAATTAAATGGGTGATTCCCGGAATAAGAGAAATTTTTAATCGTATATTTCCTTTAATTTTATCGAATTTATTACAATTACAATGCTAAACCGAACGGCGATGGTGACCCGTGAGAGTCCCAGACTCGGATCAGTCGGATGCATGGAAGCACTTTCGTTCCAGCAAAGTCAGAACTTGATTATCAAAATTTCGAGCTCGGCTCGACCATGTTTATGAGCCCATATATTGGAAATAATATGGAAATGACTTTGTTACAATTTCTAACAAAGTCAGCACTTCTGTATATTGGGCCTAAGTAGAATTAATGGGCTGTTTGTTAATCATTTTCGTTAGTTTGTTTTAGCCCAGTTTTATACTAACGAACCGGTAGTTTAGTCGTTAGTTGGGATATAAAAGGGGGCTATACGAACTGTAAAATGTAGGGCTGGCATTTTGAATCGAAAAAACGAAAACCGAACCGAAAAAAACCGAACCGAGCCGAACCGATATAATTTGGGACCCGAAAATTGGGACCCGATAAAAAAACAGTTCGGAATCGGTTTATAGTGCCAATATATCGGTTTGAACCGAACCGAACTGACATTTTTAAATAATAATTATAATGAATTTTATAGTTAATGGTCTTTATTAAATGTATATAAATAATACGCAGTCCAAAAGAACAAACAAAGCTCTCCAGTGTGATGGTTGCCAAGCGAATTCGGGGACACGGACGTCCCGTGTTCGAAACCTCGGTGTGTTTGATTTTTAGTCTGGCGTTTATTTTAAACTCAATGCTTCTTTCAATTTTGTTTACACAAAACTTTTTACAACACCGGAGAAATGAGAGAACTTCCTCCTCAAAAGCAACTATATAGTGATGTTTTCTCTAGGAACTATTCCTGAAAGTCCTACACTATCCGTGAGATTAATTGGCAAAGTGAATTTGGGCTTGCACTTTGAAAGCTTGGGCTGAAATTGGGCTTGCACTTTTGAAAGTTTTGGCCTAGTGTATTGAAAAGTTCAAATATTTTGTTTAAAAATTGAAAGTCGGTTTTTTATTCGGGTCTTGGTATTTACCCGAATTATCGGAAACCGATAATTCGGTACCCGTCTCTGAACGGTTCAGTTTCGGTTATGGTTTTTTGGAAAACCGAAATGTCGGTTCGGTTTCGGGTTAACCCTAATCGGTTCGGGTACCGAACCGAACCCAGCCCTAGTAAAATGTATCGTTGAACTAATGAGATCATCTTCTTCATCCTTTCTTTCTTCTTTCTGTTATTCTCAGTTTGTTATGAATGTTTTCTCTTTCTTTTCTACATTCATAACAATTTGGTATCAGAGCTCAGAACAATAAACCTCTACTACCATGGCAAAGATGAGTAATACAGATCGTATCACTCAACTAGAGACGGATTTGGCAATAATGCGACATGAAATGGAAAAGTTCAACGAAGTTCAGAGAGTATATTTCGCCAAGCTCACGGAATTGAATGAAAAACGTTTCGAAGAAGTTATTGCAGCTGTCAAAGGAATCAATAGTCATTCTCACCAAGAACATACTCCTCGCAGATCAGATTCCGGTCTAATTGCTACACCTGGGCATAACCGAGGTCTTAAATTGGAATTTCCTCAATTCAATGGTGAAAACGCTAGAGGATGGATCAGAAAATGTGAGAGGTACTTTCTAATCCATAGTATGTCACATAATGAGAAGATTGTATTGATTGGAATGTATGTTACTGGCAATATGGAGAATTGGTATATGGATAGAATTGTTGGTAGAGAGTCTATGGGCTGGGATACATTCGTATTACTTTTCTTGGATAGATTCTCAAAAGAAAATGATGTTATTGGGGAATTCAACAAATTAAGACAGAAAGGTGCAGTTGATGAGTATGTGGACAAATTTTCTGAACTATAAAATCTTTTATGCTGCAAAGGAATAAACATCTGGATGAGTAGTATTTTCTGAGAAGTTTTCTTAGTGGCTTAAAAAGTGAAATAAGACACATGGTGGAGATTGTAGCACCTGAAACACTCGAGCAAGCTTTTTTTTATAGCTAAGAAGCAAGAAGCTCTTTTGGAAGCAGTAGGAAGGACAGGAAAATCTATACCAAAGAGTAATAACTGGTCCAGGATTAATACCGAGAACAAAGGAGCTGCATATGGGGAGAAACCTTTACCAATCAAAAGATTGAGTAAAGAGGAGCTAGAAGCAAGAAGAAAGAAAGGATTATGCTTCAATTGTGATGAAGCTTATACACTGGGACATAAATGCAGGAAACGTTTTGTGATCCTACTTTCTGAAGATACTAAAGAGGATATTGAATCTTTATTAAATCAAGATGATGAAGAAGAAGAGAGTTTTGGGGTGTCACTCCATGCTTTGAAAGGGCATGTACCAACTGAAACTATTAAACTGGCTGGCAGGGTTAAGAACAATAACATAACTATGCTTATAGATCCAGCAACAGCTAATATAATCAACTGTGAACTGGAAATTACAAATCCTTTGCAGGTTATGGTTGCTGGAGGGGAAGAATATAGTGCAATTCCAAATGTCCAAAGTTGGAATCGGAAATGGTTGGGCATCATTTTGCAGCAAGTGTGAGAGTATTGAAATTGGGAGGTTATGATATGGTAATGGGAGTAGATTTGATGAAGAAGCTTGGACCTATCATGTTTGATTATGACAATCACTCTGTCACCTTTGATCATAAGGGAGAAAGAGTCACTGTGAAAGGCATACAACCAGACATATCTATAAGGATGATGACAGGCAAGAAGATGAGAAAATTGCTAAGAAAGAAGAAAGAAATTGTTTCAAAGTTCTTTTGTATGGTTACTTCCATAAATGGAGAAAATAAACCATCTGTTAAGGAAGAATTAGAAGAATTGGTGGAAGAATTCCAAGTAATCTTTAAAGAGTCTAAAGAGTTACCCCCACTAAGGCAGCATGAGCATCAAATTGATATCAAATCTGGAGAAAAACCATTCAAACAGTTTCCTTATAGGTATCCTTACTCGCAGAGACAGGAAATAGAGAAGTTGGTCAAAGAAATGCTTGCTTCTGAAGTCATACATCATAGTCATAGCCCATATTCAAGCCCAATACTATTGGTGAAGAAAAAAGATGGCTCGTGGAGGTTTTATGTGGACTATAGGAGACTCAATTCAATCAATATAAAAGAATAATTATCCTATTCCTCTTATAGATGATTTGCTTGATGAGTTACATGGGGCCACTGTTTTCTCTAAAATTGATCTTAGAGCAGGATACCATCAAGTGAGGATGAAAACAGAAGATATTGAGAAAACAACCTTTGTGACTACAAGTGGATTGTATGAATTTACTGTTATGCCCTTTGGACTAACCAATGCCCCTGCCACATTTCAGGCTCTTATGAACAACATATTTGGTAAGTATTTGGGCAAATTTGTGCTGGTTTTCTTTGATGATATACTCATATATAGCACTGATCTGGAAACTCATACTTGAAGAAAGTGTTTGAACTGTTGCTTGAACATGCTTTATTTTCAAAAAGATCTAAGTGCAGCTTTGGAGTTTCTCATATAGAATACTTGGGGCATATCACTAGTGCTGCTGGAGTTGTTGTGGATCCAAACAAGATAAAAAGTATTCTAGAATGGCTAGTTCCTTCATCTCTCAAAGCTTTAAGGGGTTTCTTGGGTATGACTGGATACTTCAAGAAGTTTTGTTCCCAATATGGAAGTAAAGCTAAACCTCTTACTGATCTAACCAAGAAGGGAATGTTCAAGAGGAGCAGCCTAGCTCAAGAAGCATTTGAAGAGCTTAAAGAAGCTATGTGCACTATATCTGACGAGCACTTTGTCACGATGCATCAAAATAAATTCAATACTAGCACTAATATATAGTATAGGTGGAGTAGAGTTCGTATCCACAGGGAAAGGAATATTTTTCTTTTTACGAACTTAGTTAATAAAAGGGGGGTTTTGGTGTTGGATGATTTAATTTAATTAAAAACTAAGATGAACGACTTATATGAGATTTAATTCAAAGATAAAAAGGACTTGGCATTTCTACTTTCCACTTGTTGATATATTTTAGTCGATCATTGTTATATCTATAACTTATTCCCTCTCGAATACTCAATCGAGGAGTATATCCAATTCATCGAGGGTAGTTATTAACAACGACCGTTCATTAATAACCCTTACTATTATTCAAGTATAGAATACCGCCATATACTGACCTGATAATAGCATTTAATCTCTTAAATCCTTGATGAAATCAATTGAGATTGATAACCTCAACACAACAGTTTCGGTTTAACCAACAAAATTAATCCCTCTTAAGTTTATTAACCACAACCGTGCATTAATAAACCAAAGTTACTTACTTGTGAAACCATCAACGATTAACAAGCGTATTCGTCGATCGATTCTAGTAATAATTAATATACTCCTTCCGGTCCTTAATGAAGTTTACACTTTGACTTCACACATATTAAGGAAATAAATTTGACTTTACTGTAGAGTACACTGTTTGACATTGTTTGACACTGTTTGGCACCGTTTTGCACTGTTTGGTGTAGATTTGTTTGCCAAATAAGACAAATAAGGAAGTGTAAAGTTTAATATGGGACGGCCTAAAAAGGAAAGTGTAAAGTTAATTAAGGGCCGGAGGGAGTATGAAACAAAACTAGTTGATCCTTTAAGTAATGTTCAAAATATTAATATGAAATATGAATATGAATTAATTAATACTCAAGGAAGAATATTAAAGAAGATGAATCCTACTATAGTTAATATCAAGATGTTAATTAATTGTCATCTTAGTAACACTCCCCAATATTAACATAGAGCAAGAAAATACTACTATAACTAATGTCAAGATGTTAGCTAATTGTCATCTTAGCAACACTCCCAACATTAATATAGAGATAATATTAAGGAAAGAACTAATAATTAATATTCAAGGGAAGAAGTTTAAGAAAAATAACTCACAACTTTAATAATCAACAAGCTTCAAGAGCAACACCAAGAAATGGAAGTTTAGCTCCTCATTTGGAGACTAAACATAGCTAGAAAAGTATAAAGAAATGCTATTCTAAACTGAGCTTAAGAGTATGGAAGAAGAAATGATTAAAAGTGAAGGAAAAGTGTGCTATTTATAGGTGTTTTTCAACACCTTGGGTCGGGTACCCGACCGGGTCAAGTGCCTACCCGACCGGGTCCGGTCAAAATAAGATATTCTCAACATTCTGGTGATCTTCGCACGCCGGATTGTCCCCGGTCACTTCTCACCCGACCGGGTGAGGTAGTGGGCCCGACCGGGCCATGCAATTTCTTTGCATTTTCGTTTTTCACTTCTTACCCGACCAGGTCAAGCGTTATACCCGATCAGATATTTGCCCCTGGGCAGCCAAATCTTCTTTTTCTTCACTTCAAAGTCTTTCTTTCCAACACCACAAATCCTAACTAAACTTTACAACTACAAATAAAGACTAAAACATAATTACAACTAAAATCACACAAATGTTTACAAACTAAGTAAAATGGTATGGAGGAATAGGGGTTGTATTATTACAAGAGAATCATCCAATAGCTTATATAAGCAAAGCCCTTGGACCCAAGAATATGGGCTTATCCATTTATGAGAAGGAGTTCCTAGCTATAGTGATGGCTATAGAGAATTGGAAGGCTTATTTGTTGCATGCTCCTTTGTCATCCGAACTGATCAAATCAGCCTCAAATACTTGATGGATCAGAGAGTTTCAACCCCTACCCAACACAAGTACTTAACCAAGCTACTTGGATATGACTACAGAATTGAATACAAGAAGGGACATGAAAACAAAACAGCAGATGCCTTATCTAGAAGGGATGTCATAGGTGTTGAGGGAGATGAACATTACATTGTGGTATCTGCAATTAAACCTATGTGGCAAGAAGAGTTGATGTCAAGTTATCAAGGGGATGAGGAAGCTGAGGAGGCTATATTACAAAAGTTGGAAGCTCTTTACAATATGAATTATTTTTCTTACTCTGATGGAATGTTGAAATACAAAAACAAGCTGTATGTGGGTACTGCAGGAGACTTAAGGAAGAAAATGGTGACAACTATACATGAGAGTGCTACAGGAGGGGGGCTACCTTACTGTGAATATTTTTTGGTGTCCAAACATGAAACAAACAGTGCAGCAAGTTATCGGAAATTGCTCTATTTGTCAGATATGCAAACATGAAAATTCCAAATATCCGGGTTTGCTACAACCTTTACTAGTACCTCAACAAGCATGGCAACACATTACTATGGATTTCATTGAGAAGCTACCAAAATCAAATGGATATGAAGCCATTCTGGTAGTGGTAGATAGGTACACAAAATATGCCCATTTTGTGCCACTAATCCATCCCTACAATGCTCCCAAAATAGCCTCCATTTTTATCAATAGTATCTGAAAATTTCATGGCTTGCCAGAATCTATCACATCTGACAGGGATAAGGTGTTCACTAGCTTATTTTGGACTGAATCGTTTAAAGCCTTTCGGGTAAAACTGTAAGGAATAAATGTAATGAGATTTTGATGATGCTAGGTTAATTAGAATTTGAAGTACCCCTATAGAAATTTTGTATTAGAAATTTCTTTGTAAGTATTAGCATAGTCGACACGCCAGAAACCCTCTTGGTCCTCTTGATCAGAACATCTACCAGAGTTGCTCCCAGAGTTGCTCCCAGAGTTGCTCTCCAGAGAAGCTACCAGAGTTGGGTACCAGAGTTGGCATCAGAGGTAGACATCAGAGTTCAGACAAGAAAGCCTCATCAGACTTGCTCTTACTTAGCAGAATTCGAAGGCACTTTCCAACGGACGTAAAACTAACGGTAAATTCTCTAACGGCTAGGAGCCATTCGACGGAAACATGGTACTGTACACGCATTAAATGCTCAATTAATGTTGTACGTACGAAGATATATGTAAAGCTGATGATTGACCATGCGGGTATCTTTTAGCCCCCAAAATAGCAAGTCGAAGGTCCAACCGGTCAAATCAACAGTACAAGCATTTAATGAAGCTGTATTCTACACTCCAACGGGAAGACTGTTCCCTGTATATAAGATACTCTTCGAAGAACTACAGGATAACTTCTGCTCTACATCTTGCAAAAACAACATCTTCAGCATCCAAGCCTTCTTGAGATTTCAACTTTATTCACTTCAACAAGAAAGGCTTACGTTGGAAAGATATCAACTTCTTATCCTCTTGTCCAACAAAGAGCAAAGTTCCTCCAGTTCTTCAACACTTCGAAAGCCTCACTTACACATCCTTTGTGAAGAAGCTACGTTGGAGAAATCTGTTTTATATCAAATACTTCTTGGAAAAGAAGGGACGTCTCAAACTAACTGGAGTAAGTGAAGTGGAGATACTTCCAAGAGACTCAGTGAAACGAGACCAGCCATCAGGAAGCAGGACTGCATCCCGGGTAGCAACTAGGCTTGAAGAAGAAGAGGAGTGCTTCTTAAGTGCTAGGGACTAAGGCGTTGTAATTGTTAACTTACAAGCTTAGTGGAACAGTGGACTAGAGGAACACGTTGTTCCTTGAACCACTATAAAAATCTCCGGTGTCATTTACTTTACGCATTTACTTTCTGCATTTTAGACTTTGACTGCATAACTCAAAAGGTTGGACTCTGTGTCCAGCAGATCTTCCTTGAGAGTTATCAGAAAGGCATTTGCCTTAGTGTTTTTCCTGAGGCTACCCGGACAGAACCTAATCCGCTACCAGGTCCAGCTCTGCCATCAGAACTTGACCTTCTCTGTCACCAGATTTCGACCTTCTCTGATAAGTCAGCATTGACTTAGAGAAAAGTTTTGGAAAATCCTGAACAGTCTATTCACCCCCCCCCACCCTCTAGACTGTTCCTAATATAAACGGGATCAACAAGTGGTATCAGAGCTTCCTCATTCTTGTAATCTTTTAGGTTACTTGCTGAACAAAGATCCACTTGTTTTAGCCTTTTTAATCTCTTATTATGGATAACACTTTGTCAAAGAATTTGATGTTCTCAGTTACCAAGTTTGATGACTGGAAGATACGCATGAAAGCCCATCTCTGCGCACCACACGATGAAATGTGGGATGTCTTAGATGCAGGTCCTTTCACTGAGTTCACCAAAGTAAATCCTGAGTATTCTGCTAGCAGTGGTCAACCCCAAATGGTCACTAAGCTTCGTCATGAGTGGTCTAATGAAGAAAGAAGGGAGTACAATCTTGATAACATAGCCAAGGACATTTTGTACAAGGCCATTGATGACAAATACTTCACAAGCATCAAGAAGTGCACATCTGCCAAGGCTATCTGGGATACTCTTACCCTGATAGGAGCTGGTGATGAGCAGGAGAAAGACAACAAGCTCACAATTGCCATGAAGAAGTTTGAAGACTTCAAACTTCTCCCCAAGGAATGCATAGCGGAGATGTATGCACGCCTGCTCACCCTTACTGCTGAGATTTCAGAACTTGGGAAGGAACTGACTCCCAAGGAAGTCAACTTGAAGGTTCTCAGAGGTCTACCTTCACCCTGGAAGATGAAGGTTACTGTCATGAGAGAGCAAAGATCTCAGGACCTACAACACTAAGAAACTCATCTCTAATCTCTAATCTTATGAGTTCGAGATGAATGAAGAAGAGAAAGAAGAAGTTGAGGACATAACAACTACTGCCCTCACAGCCAGCACCTCACAGGTAAATAACTTTGACCCTTCCTTACTTTTAACTGACGAATATATGGTTGCCTTTGCCAGGAAGTTCAGGAAATTCATGAAGCCCAAGGATGGCAGAAGTCCATCCTCTAGCAGAAAGCCATTCCAGAAATCCAAACCATTAGAAAGTAGTGGAGAGCTTCTCTGCTACAACTGCAGACAACCAGGGCACTTCAAGGCCAACAGTCCACACCCAATAGTATCCAAAAGGCAAGGCCAAGAAGGAGAGAAGAAGTATGAGCACAGAAGGAGAAAGGCACTCATCACAGAGCAACCAGAGAAGGACCCCCTATATGAGACAGAGTCCAGCTTAGAATCA